TATTCGGCGAGTCGCATGAAGGGTGCGCTGCATCCTGCTAAGGGTGTTTATCGCACCGCTCGCTGTCTGCCCTTATCAGATCGGAAACAGAACAACAAGAAAGGGGACAACCATCGGTCCAGCAGGATGTGGATGAGGACCATGTCTCCAAATACCAGACCATCCGGTAACCCCGACATCGAACACCGACAGCAGTGCAACGCAGAGGCTCACGCCCCACTCTCTCCGCGCACTGCTACCGCGGGCACCGTTGCTCGTCCCCATCGCGTCCGCCTCCGCCACCGCCGCCGCTGCTGCTGCTGCTGCAGCGCCCCCATCTCGTGCTGGGAATGGCATCGACAAGGAAGACAACAGGAAGGAAGCTAGCTTGGCATAAAGCGTGGAGAAGAACATCGGTTCCGTTGTCCGTTGACCGGCTTTTCGAACGGCTCGCGGCGAAGTCAACGCAGGCAACAGGCAGGTCCGTCAACGACGACGGTTCCATCGATCTCGCCCACACGAACGCACCGCACCGTACCGCACCGCGCTACTTGGTGAGCTGAGCCAGTCGCTTCTTGATCATCTTGTACTTCTGGTACTCGCCCTCCACCGGGGCGATGTCTTTCGGGCAGCCAACCTGCTCAGGGTTTGTTTCGCGAGAGTTCATTGTTGTTGTTGTAGTTGCTGTTGTTTCCTACACACTATAAACCGTTCCGGTCTCCCCTCAGTACCTTCAAATATCCATACTCCGGTCCAACTCACGCGGATGCCTTCCGTGGTTACAAGCCATTTACCATTGGAGGGATAGTCCTTCCGAGAACGAACAACACAATAATGGACCAAGAGCCGCAAGGAAAACGCGACAACGGCAAGCTTGCCATATTTGTTGTCATAGTTGCTGTTTTGTTCACACGCCAGACAACGCAGTCAACAATAAAGGAACGATGCAGGAAGTACGCAAATCCCCTGTGTGCTCCAAAGGCGACAAAACAAATTCCCTGTCGAAACAAGGAATACCCTAAAAATCATCATGTGTAGGAAATGGGGGACACGAAAATATCAAAAGCGAAAAAAAAAAAACAACCACCCCTAGAGTGTGAACGAAGCAAGCCTCTTTTTCTCCTTGTTTCTCTCATTAACAGTACACAACAAACCTCGCGGCCATTCTTCTCCTTGAACTCCTTCTCGAAGTTTTTGAGCATCACATGCAGCACTCGCTTCTCCCTATTTAGCTGCACGAGCTTGTCATTCGCCGGGCCGCCGGCTCCCCCAGCCGCCGCGGCCGCCGCCGCCGCGGTCGTACCGCTCCCCGCCGCCATTCGCCCGCCGTCCCCGACCCCAGCCGCCGCCGCCGCGGACGCCGCCGAAGCGGCGGCGGCGGCAGCAGCGGCTGCGGACACCGCGACCGCTCCGGCAACGCTGCCGGGAGACCCGACCGCCCCGACCTTCGTCACCGCCGCAGCCGCCGCTCCTCCGAGGGAGGAAGCGCCGGCACCGGCGCCGGCGCCAGATGATCCTGCCCCCGCTCCCGGCCCCCACCGCTGGTGCTAGTGCTGGTGCTGCTGCTGGCTCGCCGCGACCGGCTCGTTGTTGCCGTTGGGGTTTCCAATGGCGGCAGCGGCGGCGGACGCGGCGGTGGTGGTGCAATCTGGGGTGGCGGACGCCGATGATGAGTCGGCGTTGTCGCGCTCGAGCCGGGTTGTTCCGCCCGCACGCCTCGCGGCGATGCGGTGTAGGGGCTTTGCGGCGGCGTGTACTGCAGCTGTGGGGAGTGCTGGAAGCCGGGGGGGGGGGAAGGGGACAGAACATAACAAGGAGCCGACGGCATGTCCTTTGGTGAGGCATGTACCGATTCTGCCTTTTGACAGTTCAAAGGCTGAACGAAACGAGTGATTACACAAAAGAGAGCAGGTTTGACACGGGTAAAACAGGTGGGTGCGGGGGATTGAACGCGAAGGGGGTAGGGTGCACTCATGAAAACGCACGCCGTAGCTGTTAGATCATTGATCTCGCATCCCTACAATGCCGGGTTTTTCGCCGGCCCAGGCTACGTACCTACCACAGAGGTGGGGGGGCAGAAACACGCCTACTCCAATGTTCATGTTCTTGGCAACACCCGCCAATCGCGCAACACAGCGGCCAAGAACGTTTCCCAACATGGAGCCTGCGGATCAGCAGCTACAACCGAGGAGAACAACGAAAATACAATTGCATCAAAAATGCCTGCATGTTCACAATCGTACACATGCGAAGGCACTCCTGCGGAGTGGGCTCATGAGAGCATGGTAGTAGTGTCATCCAGGCGTCATGCAAGATGAATTGTGGTGTGAATCAGCTGCTACCTGCCATCACTTACGTTTTTCCAACTTCGAACAGCTCACACAGCTGACGTGTTTTTGACTCCAAGAGAGCTCAGCGAACCTCAACCATACAAAATTGAAATGTTCAAGCCTGCCCCACGCCCTCTCGATGGCCTCATGCGTACAAGTCAACGCCATCGCCAACACGCCTCTCCTGCCGTTCCTATCTTCATGTGCACGCCTCTCAAAACAAACCTAGCATGCACCTTCGTGCACGCGATGTTGCTTTGACGGACGCGCACATCACTGTCAGATTGGCAGGAGAAGGCCATGTAAGTGGTGCCTTCGACATGTAGCGTGAGGCCATCAACAAGTGTCGAGAGTGCGCAACAGACGAGAACATCCATCTACATAGGATTGTGAGAATGCTACCACGCCGGTTTTGGTGGTGCGCAGGTTAAAACAAAAATCTGAGTCGAGTATGTGAGGCTTCTCCCTCCCTCACCTGCTGTCGATGGGCGACCAACAAACCCTCGACGTCCCGAATCTGGTGCTTGAGCCCGTCGTAGCGACCGTACAAGTGACGCATGGGCTCCTTCTCGGCCTTCGTAGGCTGGCAACACGACATGACAGAAAGCGTCCAACACGCAGGAGGCGTGGTCGGGAAGAGGGAGGGGGCGTAGTTCAATGTTTTGCACGCCTTAGCGGTTAGGCCATTGACCTCGAGAGGACGGAGAATTGTTCCCACAGGACCGATCACCGATGGCCAATCGCTCCTTCTCCTACTTTGCCAAAGGTGAGTGACCTGAACATGTTGTCCCCAGCCTACCATCCTACCGATATCACTTCCCGCCTTTGCAGCCAACGCCGGGAATGGACGGGTGACGTTGGGGGGCTAAGAAGGCGGGCAACGAGAGAACAATAGCATGTCGGCTCTCGAGGGCACGTGCCTATTCAGCTAGCCGGGCGTCTCTGCTGCCGCCATACACAGCGACGGCCCTACATTGTGCACGTCCCGAAACACCCTAAGAACTCTCCGCCGACCCGTCTGGCCTCCGCCTTCTCTCCGCTTGTCCTCGAGTATATGGGAACTCGCGAAGCACAACAACTCAAGAATCAGGTGGAACATTGCTGCAACTTAAACATTGATGTGTAGTGACTTTTGGATGAGTACATGAATGAGTCCATAGGGTAAACGATAAAGTTACCCCCGACGTGGATGACCATCCGAAATATCGGGGAAATAACCAGCGTCCATCCCGCCCTCCCCCCTCTCTCTTAGGACACTGCGCCCCCCCCCTCTGCCCCCCCCCCTCACCAGCCGCCCGGTTCGTCGAGAGAAGGTCATGTCGAAGCTCTTGAGCTGCCCCTTGATGCCTCCCTTCTCCAATAGGTCCTTAAGCTTCCCGGTCAGGGAGATCCTCACCTTCTCCTCCGCCGCGCTCGCAACGCCATCCTCCCCCCCGCCGCTGGCCGCCGCCACCGCGGGCGCCGGGGCGGCAGCAGCATGCGCGGTAGCCCGCCCTGCCGCGGCCGAGGCGTCGTCCTCGTCTTCATCGAGGTCGAAGAACGAGTGCTTGGGGAGGTACGCCGGTCCACCCGTGTTGCCGCCCGCGGACGAGAAGCTGGGAGGGCCGAAGTGGGCCGCCGTTTCCGCGGGGGGAGGGGCGTGGGGCATGTGCGGTCGCAAGAAGCTCCGTAACCGCCCCGCTACCGTGTCGACAGAAACAAAACCAACAGCAGTGTGTTTTGAGAAGCGGCCGAGGGCGGTTTCGGGGGGGGACTATGATCACGTAAGACGGAAGGGGGAGTACTCGTAGCCGTATGCCGCATTCGTTAGACAATGGACCTCACCTCCCTACAAAGCCGGGACGGAGCACGCCGGGTTCTCACCGGACCAGGCTCTCACATCACCAAGCGCGAAGCGCCGTGAGGTATTCGGCGAGTCGCATGAAGGGTGCGCTGCATCCTGCTAAGGGTGTTCGGCATCTTCGGCTTGCTTCCTTGCTTACGAATGACAGCTGCGTATGACGTAATTTATTCTCTGGTGCTTTCATTTCCTGAGACAGTTGTAAGCGATGTGTAACTGCGTCGAGGGTGCTTGGCCATTTCAACACCACGTGGTGCGATCATCCCCCTTGCGCGGAGTGAGGCTTCTCCACCCCGCACAACACGATCTACTTGACCACCATCATGGTTACCGCCAGAAAAAAAACAGAGGTCAAAAACAAACGGTAACCTGGTTGCCGAGTTCACGAAATCAATCGACTTGTTTTACAACGTTGTTGCGAAGCGACGAAAAGCCAATCCCGCCGGAGGGGGGAGGGGGAGTACTCACAGTCGTGCATGCCGTGGTCGTTCGACCATTGACCTCGCATTCCTACAAAGCCGGGACGGAGCACGCCGGGTTCTCACCGGACCAGGCTCTCACATCACCAAGCGCGAAGCGCCGTGAGGTATTCGGCGAGTCGCATGAAGGGTGCGCTGCATCCTGCTAAGGGTGTTCGGCATCTTGTGCTTACTTCCTTGCATACGGATGACAGCTGCGTATGACTAAATTTATTCTCTGGTGCTTCATTTCCAGAGACAGTTGTAAGCACTGTGCTGCCTCGAGGGTGCTTGACCATTTTAACACAACGTGGTGCGATCATCACCCTTGCGCGGAGTGAGGGTTCTCCACCCCGCACAACATGATCTACTCGACCACCATTATGGTTACCGCCAAAAAAAAATAAACGGAGGAAAAAAAAAAAAACGGTAACCTGGTTGCCGAGTTCACGAAGTGAATTGGCTTGTTTTACAACGTCGTTGAAAACAGAAACCGGTAACCTGGTTGCCGAGCTCACGACGTAAATTGGCTCTTCTTACAACGTCGTTGCCAAGCGACGAAAACCCAACCCCGATGGCAAA